TTACCCCCCCCCCTCCAGTGGACCTGGACAATGCCTTTAATCACTATAATAATCATAAATTATGACAGAAACATTAGAGCCCGATTTTGGGCTTTTTATCTCTAGATTCACGCTGATGGGCGGAGCCAGCATGAAACTTCTACCTTCTAGAGCGATTTTCTCGCTTCGAAATTCATCTTTCGCAGCGAGACTTGAGCGTTTAGCTTAGTTAAAGCCTCCCTATAATAAGACATCAAGACCAAGTCCCCTCAGTTTGGGTACAGGATTCAAATACTTACCAGAAAACGTATTCACAGTGATCGAGAGATTAGGACCCGAATCCCCAACTCTCTTGATACAACGATTCTCTCCACCCGTATGAGATTTTGATGTGTCGACAACTCGTTCCGAAGATAGTCTCGACTGATCCCTAGCTGTAGTAATCACTACTCCACTATTTTTAGAACCTATAAACCCGCAAATGTGAAAAATAAGTAACAAAATTCCGCAGTCCAACTCACTGGTTTGTTCAACAGGTAGCGTGATTAACAATTCCTTGACTCCTGCCTTTGCAGACTCGCTCTTTCCCTTGCTAATCTCATGTTCGGACTTTCTTGAACGACGCGAACGAGTTGAGTATGATGCTCTAGATTTTCGTTCCGGCTCTCTTGATTTTGAACCTAAATCAAGATTAAGGATTTATAGCTAGCAGACAATTTATGGAAAATACATACTTTTTCCCACACTTATGTAAGCACGAGGAGTTGAACGATGTTTGCTGCTTTCATTCGTTCTATACGTCCTTCTTTCGGATGATCGGCGTTTTTCTCTGCTTTTAGAGTCGTCACTTCTATGACTTCGCTTTCTTGATGATGCTGAAATAATTCTACTCGATAAGGTGATGTAGTGCACAGTTTGCTCACATGTATCATGATGTGTTTTGTTGGATGTCGTAACCTTTGGAGGTTCTCCAGGAGAAAGTCCTCCAGACAGCGCATCTGTGAAAGAAGACCACGTTGGACACAAGTTTTTCGATACAAAACTTCGAGGAAAAAGAAAATTTGATGATTTGAAGCGCCGCGGGTGCGTGAGGCACGCGCCATACTTGATCCGCTT